GCTAATGATTACTGTGTGTGATAACAATAGAGGGTCATGCAGCAGGCACTGTAGCTTGTTCTGATTACAGGACGAAACCACAGCAAGCTAAAGAAGACCTGCTTCCTATCGCATCAGGAAACGTTTTTTGATGAAAACCGGGGGGGACACCTGCCATCTTGTGTGCCAAATCTTGTGAAGGCAATTTCGTCAGGTTTCATAAACCAATAGTAACAATAGAACCTTACATTGAGTTTTAAGATTATATGAAACCAGATTTGAATAAAATATTCACATCCGGATGAACTCAAATGCTCTGTTTTTAAGATTTCACAGATTAAATGTCATGTTCAATGTCATTAAATGAGTCCTCCACCAACCTAGCATCTTAAAGATGCAGTAGGTAATTCTTTCAAAAAATAACTTCATATTTGCTGAAACTTTCACTATATCCTGACAGTAGAACATAATATGTGAAAAAATCAGTTCATCTGGCTCTGTTAGTGCTCCTAATGGCATTTGTAAGAATCCACCACACCTGATTGAAAACAACCAATCAGAGCCGAGATAGTTGATTGTTGAGTCTTATCCCCAGGTCATCAAATACAAATGCTTTGGGACCCTGGGATTGAGACTCAATAATCAACTATCTATCTTTTCTCAAGCTTCCAACACAAAGTGTCTTTATATCTTTCTCAACTCTTATTGGTTGTTTTTTCGTTGAGGCCCGGTGGATTCAACTACCATTAGGAGCACTAGAACGAGCCAGAGGAACCTGATTTTTTCACAGATTACCTGTCTCATGTTCTACTGTCAGGATATAGTGAAAGTTTCAGTAAATATGAAAAAAGTTTTTTTTTTTTTTTTTAAATGACCTACTGCAGCTTTAAGCAAATGATTGAACCTCTTTGTATCTTTGTCCCTGTCTCCTCCGCCACCTCCCTCCCTGCTCTGGCTCTATGTCAGCGGTCTGAGCTGGGGTCAGACGGAGACGGCATCAGGCTCCGTCCGGGGTCAGGGACACTCAGCTGGGCAGGAGAGGACAGAGCCGAGGCCCCACCAGCACAGAGCTGTGCTAATGAAGGGCCAGGCAGCCAGGCGGCCAGGAGGCCCCCGGGTTACACAGACAACAGTTTTAATTGGTCTAATGAGATGCAGTGTAGGCTCTGCGAGGTCAGGTCCCGCAGGACGGAGCAGGACATTATGGGTCAAAAAAAGGAACTTTTATATCTGCCTGAGTTTGTTGAGCTTTTCTTGACTTAAAGATATTTAGAGCGGTTCAGAAATCTCATATTTGGGGGGTTGAAATAATTTAAATGTTGGTTGGAAAACCAAACATTCAAATCAAGGGTTTATCATAACAAAATAAATAATGCATTTAACTGTGCCAGAGTTTTGATTATTTGGCTTGTAGATTTGGACTTTGGAGCAAAGCTCATGTCTACATCCATCATTTCTTGGAAAGTAAGACAAGGTTGGCCGAATAAAAACGAAACAGATTCTTCTAATTGCTCTCTGATTTTAATTACATTTTATTTGCCTTCATTTCACATGCACTTTTCACGCGGGCAGGAAGGCCTCCTGCTCACTGCTTTATTAAGACTTAATATTGAGTCGTTTGTTTGTCAGCAAGCTAAATAGGATAACATTATAACAGTTTATATTCTGCCCTGCAGAAGAGTTCCACATTGAACTGGCTGAAAAAAATAGAAAAAACTAATTCTGATCAACATTATTAGACCTAAATTTAATTATTATTTATTATATATTATTAATTATTATTAATAATATTGTTCCTAGATATAATTTAGATAAAATAAATGTAAATTATTGAGGTGTTAAATAGCCTAATAGCAAACAACAAACCTGGATAATTTAAGGCTGATCATGCAAATTAATAGAAAATACCAAATTATCAGCAGTTTTAATGGATGGACTCTCGTCTGTTCATCCAAACGGAGCTGAAAACAGAGTTTCACAGGCGCACTAATGAATCAAACTCTGGGTTTTTTTCCAGAGTAAAGAGCCTTTTCTCTCCTCACTGAAAGAGTTAATCTGAAGTTGGCAGCCAACTCCAGTCTCGGTCAGACGTGCGGAGAATAGAAAAATGAAGGACTTCAAAATCATCTCTTTTGTCTTTGGACTGTTTAAATCCAGCTGAGGGATTTCATGCAGAGAATTCTGAAACTGAAATGGATGCTTCTGCAGGTTGAAATAAAAAATCAGTAGAACACACATTTTAATATTTAGGTTTATTTCGTTTTTATAATACAAATCTCATTTAAAGAATGTGACAAAATGGGTGAAACCAGGCTTTAATAGAACAAATTTGCATATATTTTATTGCACATGTGCAGCAGTATTCCGGGTCATTCGGGGCCTTGCAGGAGAGTGGCCCTCATTCCCTGTACAGACCACCTTTTCAGTCACATTTCCTCCAGTTTCGTCTCTCCTCAGCCGGTATAACCCGACGTCGGCTTTTTTTGTAATGGCAGCTCTTTCCCCACATTATTGCTGGATGATGATGTTTTCACTCTTTTTGAAGTATTCATATTTTGTAAGCGCCCTACGAGAAGAGAGAGAGAGAGAAGGGTGATGGTGCATTTTTAATTGTTTTGGCTGAGTTTTTCGTCTTATTAACGGAGTCTGGATGATATTTGAGGGAATTAGCCAGAGAAACATGTTGGTGGAGAATAATCCATGACTTTAATTGGCTGAATTTCGGTCTATTAGAGAAGCACGCGCAGGGATTGTTTGTCTTTCTTTTTTTTAAATTTCTTTTAATTTCCAGGCCCTGAAATGCGTCATGCGCAGACTGCATGCGCTCTTTTAAGGTGAAAGATGAAACACCGGAAGCTTTCGTTTGGTTTTGTTTGTTGAAAAAAAAAAAATAATATCACGAGGAGGAACAGCGGCAGCTCCGACTGTTAATTGATAAGAAGCCCTAATTAAAGCTGAAGGCCATTTGGCTTTAGGAGCTTCCAGGTAAGGAGATTTAAGATGATTGACGGGTTTCTGTTGGTTGGATCACTAAAGCGTCCCTTACAGCAGCCTGAGCACCATATAGGCCGGGAGTGCTGCAGCAGACAGTGCAGATCACCTACGGATAGTCTGAATGACAGTTTCTCTCCCTCTAGATTTTGGCACTTTGCAGGAAACTGCACGACAGTTATTCCTGGAGAATAAATATGTGACTGGAAGCACATGGAAGGCAAAACATTTAAAATAATCTAAAAAATAGCATAGCTAAGGAAAATGACTTAAAACCGCCTTGTAGTCAAATCCCAGTGACATGTGAATGGTATTTTATTTGCATTTTGGCAGGGTCAGCCACAAACGCTTCATTCATGACTAAAAAGCAGACACACATGAGTCGCATTCAAGTGCCAGTTAAGTTTCCTGATTTTTGTGCTGCAGGTGGGAAACAGAAATATATTTATCTCTCTCTCTCACATACACACGCACCACCACCACCACCACACAGTGTGGCTTCCTTTGTTGCTTTATCTGACCTGTGCATCAAACGTCTGCAAGTCCGCGAGCGGGGATCAATGTGGAGGTTTGGTGTCCTTCACTGACTGATGTTCATGAAGCTGCACTGCATTGTTGGGAGTGAGGCTGGAGGCCAGGATGTTTATTAGTGAGAGAATAGAGGTTGTGTGTGGGTTGTGTATGACTGAGTGCCTCTACCTTTGTTTGCATTATGCAGTTTAGCTTTGGTCATTATTTCAACATTTAGACGTCCTTCATTAAGAGTCTAAACTCTGGAGTTTTGGGCACTGTGACTTGTGGTTTTCTTTGATTAAGGAGAGAAATGTATGAATTCAAATAATGTGTGAAAATTTAGAGCTGCAACTCCTATAAAATGCTAGAAAGCTGTGAAAAAGGCCTGTTATAATTCCCAAGAGCCCAAGGGGACATCTTTGAATCGTCTAATTTGTCTGACCATCAGTCAAAACATATTCAGTTTGGTTTCATACATGACAAAGCAAAGCACCAAATCCTCATTTTTGAGAGGCTGGAAAAATAACTGATAATCTGAATAGTTGCAGGTTCATTTTCAGCTGATCCACTGATCTCTTTGCATCTGCATCGGTTGGCTGTGTGTGATTCTAAGTGGAGCGGGTCTCTAGGTGATACTGGATAGGTTTTGTTGCCTTGGGCTCCGGCGTTGGCAGACTTGTGAGTGATGTGAACAGCACATGAACTGAGGAATCATATGATTTCTTTGGAGTCACAAGCCTCCGTCCTCCCGCTGTGTGATTCAGCACCTCAGACTGGCTTGTCTGCGGAGCAGGTGCAACCCTGAACGATGTGCCTCGCGATGAGGCAACATGGCAGCCGTCGCGGCTCCGACGCCAGACCCTCCTGGGAGTTCTGCAGGGGGAGGCAAAATTTAGGATTGGGGAACACTTTGCTGTTCAATACAGATTTAGTTTCCTCCGCCTGCTGCCTCCCCCTTCTTCAATCCTGTTACCATTTCTGTATTTTTCCTCTAAATCATCTCGTCATTGATTTGTGTGTGTGTGCAGTCAGAGGGAGTGTGGCTGCCTGGGTTTGTTTCTCCCTCTTTGTTTGCTGTGGTAAACCCGTGAGCAGCTGCCGGTGGTGGGGTCTGGAGGGATTCTGAAGCTGTGTGTCCTCTCTTTGCCATCCTCTGCCAAGGTGGCATTATGCAAGCAGAGAGAAGGGTAGAGAGAGACCGAGAGGGCGGGGGTGTGTGTGTGCGCATGGGGGTGAGGGAGACGAGGCGATGGCGGCCATAGTAAAGATGGAGGCGGGCTGAGGGCTGCGGGATTGGTGCAGGAGGAGACTTGCTCCCGCTGAACTTTGCTTCTGTGTCAGAGTGGAACTTGTCGATTTGGCAAATTGCGCGGCGTCGGACAAGGCTGCTTGCTCTCTTCCACTCCCACCTGCTCTTTCTCTCTTTCCTGCACGCTCTCGCTCTCTCCTTCTCATTGCCACCACACACACCTCCCATCCCCTCCCTCCCTCCCTACCCTCTCCTCTTTCTCTTTTTCCCTCCCTTTCAGCTCTTGAAGCTAACGCATTGGCTGGGCTACAGGCATCTTGTTGCCAAATAGGTGGGCCCTACTCGTGCTGGCAAAGGCTCAAGCAATGGTTAGGGAAAGAACGCGGAGAGGACGAGAGACGGCGAGTGAGAAACAGAAAGAGAAAGAGAGAGAGTTGGAGAGAAAAGGGGAAAAAAGAAGCAGCACTCGGCTTTGCCAGCGGTCGTATGCGCTCGTCCAACATTGATTCGGCTCTCTTATTTTTTTTTTCCTCCCTATTCTGCTCTGCTCTCCCTGGCCCCCCCATCTGTGTGTGTGTGAGTTAGTGTGTGTGTGTGTGAGTCTTGCGCCCGGCCCAGGGATCAGAACAGACACCACTACCAATTACACTTTGCCAAGGATTTTTTTTTTTTATTTTTTTTTTTTTCAAGGTTCATTTTTTTATTTTTTGGAATGCACAAGGACTGTTTATTTTAAGTGCATCTATCTCCGTTCTTTAAGTTCTTTTTTTTTTAGCCCTTAACATTTCTATTTTTACTTGATCGTTTTTCTTGCTACAAGTTTTTAATCTGTATTTTTTGCCATTTTTTGCTCTTGTGTAAAGAGCTGCTGGCAGTGGTCCGGCTGCAGTGAATTCTTCCTTTTAAATCTTGGGGTTTTTTGTTTTAAACTTTGGCCCACTGTCTTCAGTGAGCAGCATATTCTGCTAATTATTTTTTTACAGCCCCCCAAGTTTTTTTTCTTTTTCATCTGCTAATTCTCCACAGCCTGCCAAACCAGCACTTGCTTTACATTGGGGAGCGCGGGAGGAAAAAAAAAAAACTGGTGCAGGAGATTTTTTTTTTCACTTTAAACGCTGTGCCAAATTTATGATGAGAGTGCAAAATGGTAACTACCAGGCCGTCTGTCTTCCGCTAGCAGTGTGGTTTTCTGTGGTGATTTCTGTCTGCTTTCAGTTTGTTGTGGAAATGTGAGTCTGGTTGGAGCTCCCTTGCATGGTAGCAGAGATAGGAAATGGTATGGCTGATCTTTTAGCAGCACATTTCAACAGTGGTCTTGTGGCGACAAAGCTTGGCGGTGGTGAGCGACCGGTGTGTGGCAACCCTGGCACAGGAGCGCTGTGGCGAGATCTGGGCTTTGTTGCCCAGAGATATGTAGCGAAGGTATTATGGTACAGCAGAATAACTTTTTTCTTTTAGTAGCAGAACACCGGGAGCGCAACTTGGCTCAGCTTTTCAGCTGCTTTTGGATTTGAATTCATGCTTTTTGCATTTGTTGCCTTGAATTTTCTGGTGTTTATTTATGCAAAACGAGGCTAACAGTTAAGATGAATTTTCTTTAAAATTACTGCATATTTATTTACATTTTATCTGAATGGATAATGCTAAAATATAAACATTTTAGACAAGAATATTATTTAAATTGTTTTTTATTTTTATTTAAATATTTAGTAATTAGATTCTCAATTAACATGTAATTATAATTATTTTGATTTTAATAACGATCATTATAATCACTGCATTATCATATATTTTATTACATTTTCACTATTTCTCTATTGCCTTATTTTCATAAAAAAATGCTTTAACAGCTTCATTTTGAAGATTTGCATGCTCTCTATTAAACTAAAAGCCTTTCCAGCCTCCTAACACTACATCTTTTCCTCCCTCTCCTCAGGATGAATTTCATCCCTTCATTGAGGCCCTCCTCCCCCATGTCCGTGCCTTCTCCTACACCTGGTTCAACCTGCAGGCCCGTAAGCGCAAGTACTTTAAGAAGCATGAAAAGAGGATGACCAAGGACGAGGAGCGTGCGGTGAAGGACGAGCTGCTGGGGGAGAAGCCAGAGATCAAGCAGAAGTGGGCCTCGCGCCTGCTGGCCAAGCTCCGCAAGGACATCCGGCCAGAGTTCCGTGAGGACTTTGTGCTCACCATCACGGGAAAGAAGGCCCCCTGCTGCGTGCTGTCCAACCCTGACCAGAAAGGCAAGATCCGTCGCATCGACTGCCTCCGCCAGGCCGACAAGGTGTGGCGGCTGGACCTCGTGATGGTCATCCTGTTCAAGGGCAGCCCCCTGGAGAGCACGGACGGGGAACGGCTGGTCAAGTCGCCCCAGTGCTCCAACCACGGCCTGTGCGTCCAGCCGCACCACATCGGAGTGACCGTCAAGGAGCTGGACCTCTACCTGGCCTACTTCGTCCACACACCAGGTACGTGGGCTGCCGCCACCTATGTGACACACACACACACACACACAGGTCAGCATGTGATGTGTCACACACACGCTGGCATGCGAGTGGCAGATTAGACCCTACCCTTCGCTGCGTGCCCAGCCGAACCAGTGCCAGGATTCGATAAACGCCGTCAGAATTCAGATAGCAACCGCATCTTGACATTTAAAGGGCCACCCTCTGCGGCGTCATCTTTCAAAAATGTGTTCCAGAGAGATGTTTCTATCTGCTTTAAAGAGATTCTGAGAATTTAACAGCCAGGCTTAAAACCTGTGTTTACCTAGAGATATGTTTGCATTGGTACATTTGTTCAAGCATTTGTGTGCAAATTTGTCTAAATCCAAATGTGCATGTTTTCCGGTGCCATGTGTAAACAAAAGCATCTGCAAACCTGTTTATCTGTGTGTGCATGCATGTGCATACGTGTATGTGTGTGTGAGGCTGTTTGTCATGTGTCTGTAATCCATGTGTATGTTATTGTGAGATTGGTGTGTGTGTGGTGGTCTGGAGAGTGCAGTGACAGCTGGCCCCGTCCCAGGTAGTTTAGGAGGCAGGGAGAGTCAGCCTGTCTGCAGCCTCGGCCGCCTTACGCCACACTCACACACTCACAAGTGGAGACACACACACACACACACACAGGAGCCTCCCTCAAACACAACTCACCCGAGCTGCCCTGCTCACATTTGTCGCGCACAAGTAGAGACTTCTGTTTGTTTATGAGATGTTTTATTTTTCCATATTCGGCACACGTGCTTCCTGCTCTGACCAATCAGTTAAAATAGAGGTGGTGAAAACATTTAGTGTGATCAACCCTGCATGCATTCTTCTCACTTTCTGTATTAGTTATAATATTCAGTTTTTTAGATTTAGCATATATTGATACTTAATTTAATTTATTTTAGCAAGGATAATTCTTTTGTCTTAATAAATAGCAATACTAAAATGTTACCGCTAAATTAACATAAATTATTAACTAGTTTTTTTTATTGCTTTTGCAAAAATAAACACTCTTTCTTCCTGTTTTCTGGTGTAAAACAATAAGATTATATTTAGTTATTTAGTTATTTTTTAAGCTAAAAATATTCTACAATAATTTTGTGGCACGTTACTGCAGGGAACACAACTGTTACTCTGTGCAAATAATCTACTTTCATTGCAGCAGATCTAAATCAACAGCTTTCAAGGTGTGCAAAAGTCACATGATTGTGTTTAAAAATGAAATGTAGTGAAAGTGAAAAAAAATCACAGCTGCTGGTGCAGCAGTGGTGTTGCAGGTGGTGTAACCCTCGTATTTGTGGGTGCTTGAAATGTGCTGTGTGTGAGCCCAGCTGCACCACAAATAGGCACAATATGAACATTTCAAGTCTCAATTATTGTGGCCCAAATAATCGCGATAATATGGTGTATCGCAATAATCATGAAAATATACTTCACTTTTTGTTAAGAAACACATATTTATTGGATCAGAGACAGAACCTCGTCTCCCTGTTCTTTATTTTGGAATCTATACTGTTTCCACACATCCAGTTTAATGTTTTTTGTTGGGGATACAACGGGTGAGCCGAGCCTCCAGTCATGGTTGATTAGGATTTTGGAATGAATAGGAAGATGCTGGCTCCCTCTTGTCCACTTGTTCAATAATGGAAATTTACCACAATGTTTTTTATCGCGATGCGTGATAATATCGTTCGTCACTTACCATAAATACTATAGATTCACTGTGACTCCAGTTTTAATTTACAATTTGAAATCATATATTTTGCCTTTTCATCATTTCCAGTCACAGCCTAGGTGTGTGTTTCCATAATTCAGGTGTTTGCAGGAAGATCAGGTGAAAAGGCTGCTGTTACAGACCCTCTCTCTGCCCTGTACTATTATCCCGGGTCTCTTACCACAAACTGGCATACAGTTACAGGACCTTAATTCTTCTCCTTGGCAGGGAGGAGCAGCGTTCCTCTGTGACAGAGTACCCCTTGCCAGGCTCCTTTCAGCCCAGTGTGTAACTCTGCTTGAGTTTGCGGGGCCTCCGTGAGCGCCTCTTCCTGTTCCACAATGCGCCGTGGCGAACCACGGCTCAGATTAGCTCCCAGCGCAGCCTGGTGCCCCTCGGAGTAAAGCCTTTTATTACTCCGTGCCAGAATCCTGCAGCCCCCCCAATACATACACTAGATCAGCCTTCATCTTGCTGATTTGTGTGTTTGCACATCACGTTTGTGCTCCTTCATGAGCGTTCTTATATGAATCTGTTCAAATATTGTTTTTTAAAATTGGAAAAGGCTTGTGTGTTTCCGTCATAATGAAGCGCTGCTATTTTCTGTCTTTCCCGCTTGGCTAAAAAAGCAGAGTGCATTTAGAGCTGCATCTGCTGACAAAGTCCGCTACTGTGGGAGGGGAGATGGGTTCTAATTCTCCTGCTCAGCTCTTCCACAGCAGCCTCAAAGACAGCACCTTGTGCGTAGGGCTCCAGCGGGACAGAGAGAACATCAGGAACCAAACAAAAAACCATCAACTTGTACGGAGCTTGGATTACTGTGTTTTCCAGGCGGCTGGCTGGGGTTAACCAGAGTTTACAGAGGACAGACAGGCAGTGGCTCCATTCTAACCTTTGGGGTGGCAGCGTTACAGTTTTATTCTTAGCTCCTCATTCCAGGGTGTCTGTGTCTTGCGGAAGCTATCAGTTGCCAGGCCTGATGATTGGACCGCGTCCGTCTCACCCGCCTGTCCCCGCCGCGGCATTTCAGTTCTCTTGTCCCACTGATGTCACTGTCGCCAGCTGCGGGTGGGCCAGATTCCACTACGCGAACTGAACTTATAATACTCATGTGACAATACAACCCACCACTTTGCATTAAATTACCAACACATAAAATCATATGGACATGCTCAAATTCTTCAGGCGAACATGCACAATAATCACATTTATCTTAAGTACACTTTCGATATTAAATAAAGAGTTGATTTAATGCCAGTTTCGAGTCGCCTCAGTTTGACAAACACTCCTCTTCTACCTTTCCCTTTGCCTAAACCTTCATCTGTAACTGATTTCCTGAATACGTAGTAGCTGTCGGTTTGCTATCTGTGTCCCTCTCTTCATGTGTCCACCAAAACTGTACACTGCGCCTTCCCTTATTATGATTTGGCTTTTGGCTCCACCCCCCGCCGCGCGCTAAAAGGGAGGCTTGCTTTCAAGCTGTGATTGACAGAAAGGGAGATACAACCTCCACACCACATCCACACACACACACTAACCCCCTCCTCTGTTTTGCTACAGTATGTGTCTCTGCTTTTCTCCAATTATAGACTTGGGCCCGTCCACGAGGGGCAGGGAGAGCTGGGACAGATCACAGCCGCTGTACTCTGATCTGCGCTTCTCTGCAGCTGCAAAGAAAGGTTCCACTACCAAAAAGAGCCTGATCGCTGTCTTATTTGACAAATACCTGGCTGCACACAGCACACACAGATCAGGATGTAATTGTCACAGGCTCATGAGAGTCGACCCCAAAAGTGGTTTACGTTCTTTCCCCTGATCCTGCTGCATCTGATGATGATAACAATAATGGTTAGAGAGAGAGAGAGAGAGAGAGAGATCTGATCTCATCTTTGATCACATGTCTGTTGAAAACTAAAGTCTGGCTCGCCAGTTGGGCGCTGAGGGCCTTCGGACCCCAGATCAGGTCATGTTTTTCGAGCTTCGTGTTCCATATTTCTCCGGTCTAGCATTAGTCATGTTTGGAGACCGAGCCACCTCATACAGCTTTCATTACTGGAGCTGTTATGATAAAAAGATGTTTCTGAGAGTGCAGCCTCCGTATCTGTTCTCCGCGCTGGAGACAGACAGACCAGAGAGGTGTCCCAGGCCAGGTCCGAAAGCCAGCTGTGTGCGCTTGTGCCAGACTGCACCGTATCTCCATGCTGCTATGGTGCTCCTAAGACGTTCATTTACCCATCAATGTGTCTGCGCGCGTCGTCCCCGACATTACAAATGGCCAAGAGAATGTCTTTTAATAGAGGCGAACAAAGAGAGGACTCGACAGGGAGACAGACAGCCAGACTGAGAGACTTAACGCCTGCACGTCACGCTAATCCATCAAACACATCTTATCTGCTTTGCCCAATATCCTGAGCTTCTAAAGGAGGTAACACTATCAGATGCAGTTACATAATGAAGAAGAGACCAAACAGGACAGAGTGGGTTTTGTTTTGTGTGTGGTGGTTTATAGAGGCTATGCACGGTGGCACTGTTGTAGGTTATGTTGTCCTGAGTGTTTGCAGAAGAAGAAAGGAGAGAATCGTAATGTTTAAAAGAGAAAAAAAAAAAAAATCCCTCTGTCTCTTCTTTTCCTTGGCTGAACGTGTCGCTGCAGAGATTTCTGGATGGAGAGCCAGTGTTCTGGCATCGGTCCGTAACCCGGGCCGACAGAGAAACAGAGAGCATCGGCGCCAAGGGAGCCACATTCATCTGGTGTGAAAAACACTGCTGGTCCGACACTTTCAACGGAAACTTTCTTACGCTTTGTTGTCATTTGAAATAATGCGGCCAATAAAGTTTGAGCTTCGGCGAGCCCCGTCTCATGACAGGACAGCGTCAGTGACACTGTGCTGTTTTTAATACGCGCTGAGGCATAGGGGCCTCCGACAGCCCCAGTTTGGCCCGTTTTCAGAGCCCCCTAGTTTTTCCAGTTGCTTTTTCTGTGTCAGAGAAGGAGGGAAAAGAAGAGTGGAGTGTGCAGAATATAAGGAATTGCTGGTAAACAGATTATTCCAGTATGATCAAAATAAATTGGTCAAAAGGTGGAAGCCGTTCGCTTGGCCCGAATCCTCTGACCTCCTTGAACTGATCCCTCACAACTTTCCTCCAGTCTGCAGGTCCGACTGCCTCGCAGCTCCACAGGCTTGGTAGCAGGCCAACCTGCTTCATATTCACTGTAATTATCCAGTTTAGTGAATAATACTGGAAAAGACTGAGTATATGATTGAATTAAGTCTAATTTAGAAACAAAGGTCAGGTCTTAGCTTTGCAAATAGAAAGATTCCTTGTACCAGAAAGTGCCTATTGTGGGCAACATGGATTAGCTTTATTTCCTAATTTCACTGTACAGTGATTTTTAATTATTTGTGTAATTAAGGTTAATAAATCTTATGCTGTCTCTTTTATCAATTTAGCTGCTCCGCTCAGCAGAGTTGTTTTTAATACTTGCTCAGCAAATGGTGGCTGAGATTTAAGAAACAGAAATGTTTTTATTTTTCTTAAGAAATTAAATTAATAATAATATATGAATATAGTGAACACTTGTATTAAAATAAATCTATGTATTTATTTATCTGTTGAGCAGTTTATTTATATTCATCCTGAATGGATTTTCTCCTTTTTTTTTCAATAACGGGAACACAAAACAGCCGCACATTTTCCCTTCAGTTTCTTTGTGTGTTTTTTTAACGCTGTCTCGTTTCAGTGTGTGAATTTGCATGACCGGTGCTCTCATCCTCTGTACAGGCGCCAGGCCTGAAATCTGTCTGTCCCCCTAAAAACATACGTATCCCGGTGCAGGAGGGGTGGCTTGGCTCCTCAGCTGCTTGAGCCGAAGGGCAAAGAGCAGGAGGAGAGGAGAGGTGAAGACAGCAGAGGAGAAGAGGAAAGAGAGCGTCTTTATTTCTGGGCCGCTTCCCAGTAGCCAGATTCTGATCGGTCCGCCTCGCGCCTCGCTCCCCTCGGTCCAGTGGAGCAGAGCACGAGGGAGCCTGCCCTGTAATTGGGACAGCTCTTTCCATACGGAAAACGGGACCGGAACGCAGCGACACCGCCGAGCATAGATCCCCCATCTCTGTGTGGATTTCTTTTTTCTCTTTTTTTTTTTTTTGATTTAAAACTGTCTCAAATTAAAAAAATTGCAATGATACGCAAACAAAATCCTCTTACATAAAAAACCCAAATAAAATCCTTGAAATGAATACTAATAATGTGTAGATAAATAAATATCTCTTTGATTTTTCCCTTATTTATTCTCTCATTTAATGGTAATAAATGTCAGTCACTGCTGTTAGGATGATATTGAGCGCTGATATAAAGTAAAAAGAAAAGCGTAGAATAAAGATGATGCAGAATGCCATGCTGAAAACAAAGAGAGAGGGAGGGCAGATATTCAGGCTAGTGGGGCTGGTTGGCAGCGTTTGGCACCCAGAGCTGCAGCTCTGTTTAGAAGGTGCCAGCTTTTTCAAACCGACACAGTCTCTGCCAACTTCTCTCCTTCTGATCCTTTTATTTCTCTCTCATTTTAACATTTTTCCCCCCATATCCTTGTTTTCGCTTAACACATCTTCCCCTCTGCGCGTCCCCTTTCGCCCCTACCAGCACTCCTATGGTTGCTTTTTCACAGGGGGTTGCCAGAGAAAATAGCGAGCCGAACATATGAACTTAGGTTTTATTTTGTGGCCCGTTGAATAAAATGCCGTTTATCGTGTTACCAGTCCCCCCCCCTTCCTCCAAAATATTTTCCACCGGCTTTTAGCAGAGAGCGGACGGTGTTGCTTGGTGTGATGGTGCTGCTGTGGATTCAGGTCCAAAACAAAATGGAGGATAAATCGCTCTTCCTCTCCAATCAGAGGAGAGAATGATTCCACATGTGGGAAAAAAAACCTGGCAAATTAACAATGCTGAGTGATTTCATCCGAATATCATTTTTGCATATTTTTGACTTTTGCAAAATGTCTTCAGGTGTCTTCATTTACAGGCAGAGCAGGAAATGGTGTCGGGATTAAGGACTTGTGTATTATGCATCATTCGGGGCAGAGACCCGGGGGCCCTTCATAGACAAGGACGTGGGGGCCATGAGTGATTGGGGAAAGCGTTAAACACTGGGTGTGGGGGTGGATGGAATTACTCAATAATGATCAGAAAATTAGAGCCATTATTGAGGGAGAGTAAACAGGCCTCTCTAAGTGTGAAAGGCCTCTATTCAGCCAGGACCAGGAGCAGGACTCCTTTCTTCCTTTCATGGATCCACCCATGGCCTCGAGAGCCCCCCTTTTGTTCCCTGAAATAACAGAGTGAATATATGGGGGTCGCGGGGGTGGGGGTCCCGTTCCCAGTGAGAAGCACAGTATGGACTGTAAGGTGCACTCCATATTTATCCACCCTTTATTTTTGCATTTTTTTCTACTTATGTCACTGGCAAATGTAGCTTTTCAGGCTCTCCCCACTTTTATCAGACTAACTTGCTGTATTTAAATATGTCAGTGTCTCTGAGTTCATCAAATTCTGTCAGGGTGGGGGTTTTTTTGTGTCTCCAAGTGCACCTGGGTGTCTTTTCTCCATCATTGTTACTTAAAAAAACGCAGCACTCCTTTCCGACTCGTGCATCCTTAGAGTCAAGGGAAGGTGGGTGCAAACCAGGCGCTAACGCCACCACTTCCACATTTTTCAGCACGAATACTCTAATTAATGGGAAACGGATAAATAAATAAACATGTCTCTGAGCAGCTGAACAGTGAATGCGGCGCTCAGGCGGGGACAAAGAAATGGAGAGAGAGATTTACACTTTGAACAAGGCGTTGGAGACATCACTTTTAAGCAACTGTAGTTCACAGATTAGGAAGATTTGACAATAATAACTATAACTCAGTGACGACTTTTATATGAGTCCAAATTTGACATTCAGGATCGTTGGCTTGCATAATAAAAGCAATTTTTTTTACTATGTGCATCTATTAGTTAATTTGAACTTTCTTGAGCATCATACCCTCACTTATCTCAATATCATCATATAATTTTTATTTAATAGTTCATTCTCCTTCACTCTTCCTCATGAGGATGCTCTCCAGGGCAGGGCTCCGTCCAGCTCCGAGCTCCCACTCAAAAAAAATCACCTGACACTCACTTTCTCCGTCTGTTTGCTGTTCGTACGGACAGCCAGCTCCATTTCACAGGCATAATTCTGGATGGTAACATTCTCATTATACCCGTCAACTGTCAGCGCTCAACTCTCTTGTCTATAATTTCAAACTCATTTGAATTCTTATTGGCAGCTTGGATGCATAAATTTCATAAAAGATCGAAAAACAACACCGTTTTTTTCCCCCCTCTTCCTCTCTCCCCGGTGAGCAATAGAAATATGGAAGAGATTAGGGGGAAAAGAAGTTTATGAAATTGCATTGTTTGTTTGGATTTATTTATCAGAATAACACATGTCCAATATTGTAGCTTAGATTTCTACATTTGATATGTTAATGCAGACTCAAAGCTGCATTAGGTAACTGTTATTAAAATAACTTGCCATATTTGCTGAAACCTTTACTATATACTGATAGTAGTACATGAAACAGATAATCAGTGAAACAATCTGGTTCCTCTGGCTCCTTCTAGTGCTGCTAATGGCATTTGCAAGTAATTCCAA